GTCTTTCAACCAGCATTACAAAAAATGTTTCTGAAGACAATCACCTATTGCACCTTTAACCCTGATTGTTCTGGAAGAAACTAACCCTGGATCCAACATGTGTGAGCCTGTCTCTACCTGTCAACATAAAGCCAAGTAACTAACCATCCAGTCACAGTAATGATGACAGGCATTTGTAGAGTGATTGGTGACCTTTTTAAATTCTTTCCACTCTTTATGAAACACTAAAATGCTTTCTAGAGTGCAATGCAGATCACAGTGCAGCCTCCATGCAGTGGTGCGTGCAAACCTCGACCGGAGTAATCGAATAGATTTATCCCTCAGCAAAATTAATCAAACTGCCTGTAATCACATAGTCATTAACAAAAAGTCATCAGTGGAGCCCACAAAACTCTTCTTGGTTCGTCATCTCACCTCACATCATTTCATCCATTAGTGGTGAATTTCAGAGAAGGTGATGAATGGCGCATGCTTAACATACGACAGAGATGAATGAGATTTCCAGAAAGAAAAGCTTTGCTGACTGAGGTCATAGAAAAGCTCTCAAGCTTGTAACACAGATGTGGCTGAGGGTGTTTCACGTGGGTATTTGAAATACAGATGTTATACTGATGGTAAAATTCAGAGGAGAAGAATTACAGCCGTTGCTGTAAAAGGATTGCAGAATAATTCTTACATTTGGCACGTTTTGGATTTAGTATGATTTACATATTGTCTGATGAAGAGCTTTTGACTTGAAATCCCTTACCAAAAATTAGCATACTTCAAGTTTATTTTAGTAAGTATACTTAAGTAAAGTTCAAGTATATTTTTAAGTATACTTTATGTAGTAAGTATACAAATATCAGTGTACTAGTAGTATACTTGTAAGTGTACTATTTCAATACTCCTTGGGACTAAATTGGCCCACTTTCTAGTATATAAAAGTATACTTTTAAGTATACTTTAAGTATAACAGTAGCAAACTTTGAGTACACAACTAGTTTACATCAAAATGTTTAGTTTGTACTGCAACTATACTAAAAGTGAACTTATAGGTACACTGATAGTTTACTAATTAAATACTTGTAGTAGTATTTTTAGTACACTTTGAAGTATAGTCTCAGTAAAGTACTAGTTTAGTAGTTTTTTGCTGCAAGTATACTCGTAAGTTTTCTTTAAGTGAACTTTACATCATACTTTAAGTATACTACTATGTCCCTATTTAGGTATGAATTTGTATAAATTTTGTTACATGAATATCTGAACATACAAAACATCAAAAGACCAGGGTATCTGCTTGTAAACAAAAACATTTTATTCTAGCTTCATGCATTCTTAAACACTTAAATGTGGATAAGTTTCATAAATAAAAAATAAAGAAATAAACAACATTTTGAACACAAAGCTGAAAAAAGACTATGAATTGGATTCAGAATGATAATCAAAACGTAGATAAAGTCAATCAACACCCCAAAGCTTGATAGTTATTATTACCTCTTCATTGGTCGACATTTTATTCCATAACTTTACACAGTTTTGATGCTGTTTTATGTCTGATGATCTGTTAGAATACATGTGGAAGCATCTGTTGTTTCGGTTTCTTCTTCACTTGTGTTTTTTGGAAATTCTGTACAGAAGATGTGTACTAGCGCGCCCTACAGTATAACAATGAAAACACGGATTCTAGGAGCACAATTATAGCTGAAATATATTTAGACTTTTTCTAAGTATAAGTCAAGTATACTTAAATGCCATTTTAAGTATATTTCTGAGAAGTACATAAAGCCAATTTCTGAGAAGTACATAAAAAGTAGACTAAAAGTATACTTTCCTATTTTTAGTTTAAAAGAAGTATACTAATAGCACACTTGAATAAACTTATTTTTCGTAAGGGATATCACTGTGTGGTGAGATTAATATGGCAGTACTGCTGCTTCTGGAAACGGTGTACTGACTTCTTGCACTTTTTTCATTTGGTGAATGGCGCTGTGTGTTTATATGTGTGCTTGTTGTGTCCTGTCTTGTTCCCTAACTATCAGCGGCTTTATAGCCTTTGTTTGCTGCATGACTTCATAAAGGACTGAAGGCATGCTGGGAGTTTAATCCCATCTCAGAGGAATTCTCTTAGACACATAACACACAGTATCCACAGACCTCTAAAGCATCTCTAAATCCAGCAACAATGGGCTCAAGAATTCTTAAATGGAGCGTGTAAATGTGACACTAAATGTAATTAGTGATTTTCAATTAGCTGTTTTCAAATAACTGAGAATTTGCTGTTAAAGAAATAGTTCACCCCAAAAGGAATATATTGTCATTATTTACTCCCCCTCATTTCGTTCCAAACCTGTAGGAGTTTCTTTCTTATGTTGAACATAAGAAGATAATTTGCTGGTAATCAAACAGTTTATGGTCCCCACTGGCTTCCATAGTATTTATTTCCCTACTATGGAAGTCAACGGGGACCAACAACTGTTTGGTTCTTCAAAATATCTTCTTTTGTGTTCAACATAAGAAAGAAACCTATACAGGTTTGGAACAACATGAGGGTGAGTAAATAATACAATTTAAATTTTGGGGTGAACTATTCCTTTATTGCAACAGGAACTTACAGGGCATGATTCTGAAACCCTGAATGATGAGTTTGTAGGAAAACAAATCAGGAATTGAATTCACATTAGGACAAAATAAATGTGTGATGAATAACACCAGCTTTTGTGTGTTCTTTCAGTGGAGTATCAAGGGGTCAACATGACGGTGTGCTACCCCAAAGTCAGCAGGGATGAGATTCAGAATGAAGGCAATGCAGTGGCCATTATTGGGGCTGCAATCATGTACTGCTGTGTTCTCTTCGCATGGTGAGTAAAAAAGTACAAAGAGTAAAGAGGTATTAGTATTGGGATATTAATAGAAAGGCTAACTGCCGATTTTCTCTCTCAGCAATGAGGCTTCATACTTAGCTGAGGTCTTTGGACCTTTCTGGATGATAAAAGTTTACCGCTATGAGTTCCAGGTATGTGTCTTTCTCAGAAAAATATTAGTGACTTGACTTCTTTAACTCTTGAAGGGATAGTTAACCCCCCCAAAAAATGAAATTCTATCATTCCAAACTTGTATGACTTTCGTTTTTCTGCAGAACAAACAAAAGAATATATTTTGAAGAATGTTGCAAACCAAAGTTTCCGTTTTCCCTTTGACTGCAACTGTATTTTTTGTCCATATAATGGAAGGCAATGATAATAGAAACTGTTTGGCTACCAACATTCTTCAAAATATCTTCTTTTGTGTTACACAGAAGAAAGTCATACAGGTTTGGAACTACACGAGGGTGAATAAATTATGACAGAATTTTCATTTTTGGTAAAGTAAACTATTAAAATTACGGAAATGTTGTACTTAAATATTTGAATTAATGTCTCTGACAATGTCTCCCACTATATGTCCTGAACAGAAAGCCTCCTGTTGCTTCTGCTGCCCAGAGCCCGAAGATGGTGAGAAGAATATCACAAGTTCCAATATCCATTTATTTCACACACATATTAATGTCATTAAACACAATAGTGTATGAGACAGAAGGTATTAACAACTTTGTTTCTGTCCCATCAGAGGAAGAGTTCGTCATTGACGAGAACAAAGGCTGTCAGAAAGTCATCCACAGTGAGTCCCATCGCGTCGCCTACAGCTACTTTTTCTTCCATTTTGTTTTCTTTTTGGCTTCCCTCTACGTAATGATGACCCTCACTAACTGGTTCAGGTCAGTTGTTAAAGAAGTCGTCTGAGCTGTTCTAGAGATCTATTGAGAAATATTGAGCTGAATATTTTCTCTTTTATTTTTTTGTATTTTGATAACATCTCTAAAAGAAGGGCTTTTTTTTAGATTTGGCTAATATCTGGAGAATTTTTCTGCAATTGTGTTGCCAAACGTGTAGCACACACACAAATGTACTTGAAAGTAAAGAGGGCTCAAATCACAATTTTGATAGTACTGTTCTGTCTCCTCCAGTTATGAGACTGCTGTGCTGGAGACCACCTTCACCCATGGGAGTTACTCCACATTCTGGGTCAAGCTGTCCTCCTGCTGGGCGTGTGTGGTTCTGTATCTGTGGCTCCTCCTGGGTCCCCTGTGCCACTGCCAGTCTGATCACAAACGACCTCGTCGCGCCCGCATCAAGAGACGGACAGCCTCCCACCGCCACGTTAGCGTCAGCGTGTGAATTACAGACAGTTAAACAGCGTCAAAGACAGTGGGGATGGGTGCCGGTTACTGGGGAGTTCCACCCCAAAGGAAATGGGTCACAGCGGATCTCTGAACACTGAAGAGCAGACTTCAATTAAATTAACATTGATCCTCCTGATAATCCTGTTAGGATTAAAATCACCAGCACTATGAATGCAATGGGAACAGAAAATGGGAACAGAAAATGTTAACCATATTTAAGACTGTACAAGCATACCTTTAGGGGATGTGCTACAATTGCCAAAAGGAATATGACATTAACATTTTCTGGACAAGCTGGATGTCTGTATGTTTAGTGTTTTTTTTTCTAAAATGTAGAATAATTTTTTTATTGGCTTACAGCGTAGACATATGGAAACTACCTGAAATAGGCTTTTTCCAAATTAGGCTTTAATTTAAGCTTTTGTTAAATTTATGCATATTAAGATGGATAAATTATGTGAGCAATGCTTTATTTCAGTGATCTGTGGCTTGTGTGTGTGTGTATGCGTTTTTGTGACAAATGAGGACATAAATTTGTATAATGACAAGGGTATGACATAGGTATTACAAGGAGAAGGTGACTTTTCAGGACATTACCCCATGTCCCCACTTTTCAAAACACATATAAATCACACAGAATTGAGTGTATTGAAAATCTGAAATAGCACAAAGTCTCCTGTAAAGGGTAGGTTTAGGGGTAGGGTTGGTGTAGGGCAATAGAATATACGGTCTGTACAGTAGAAAAACCATTACGCCTATGGGATGTCCCCACTTTTCACAAAAACAAACCTGTGTGTGTGTGCATATATATACATATATATATATATATATATATGTATAATTTTTCTCTGGGGCCTTGCCCCACTCACTCTCTCAGCCAATCAAAGGCCACAGGGAGAAAAAGCTGTTATCTTGAGTATAATGACTTTAATAGCCCGTCGACAGCCAGAGTATTTAGCCCTAATTGCATGTTTCTGTTAGAAAGTTTGATGTGACTGTCATAAAAGATAAGTTATTTTTGTAAATATATTTTTAACAAGACACATTTTAGAGATTATGTGTGTTTTGTAGAAAGGCTGGACTATAATTTAACAACCACATCAAGGTAATAGGATAATCTTAGTTAGTCTGCTAATGATGAAAGGGAAAAACGGCTGCCAAATATAAAGCAGAAAACAACTGTTCGTTGGCAAAAGTGCTACGCCATAGACAGTTTTACGTATATGCTGCTTATCTTGAATGTGTAAATGTACATGTGACTCATAAACACTTTATAATTATTGATAAGAGCAAAAATATTGATGGTAAACCATTTAAAATTATAAGGCAATATATAAATCAAGGTTTCCTCTAGAAATACTGTGCTTATAAATACATATATAAAAACATCAAAATGCACATGATAAAGATACACATGCTGTCAAGAGGTTTTATGCCATTAACAATTGTGCTAGAAAAGGCATCATAAATTCTGTGTATATTATTTACTTTGGTGTATAAGTTTTGAAAGGTGACTGTCCACCTAAAGTGCTTCATTTAGTGACTCTCTTTGCTTTGGTTTGTCTCATGCCCCCACGGACATAATTCATCCCGACAAAGTGTCCATTGTCCTTATTGAGGAATGCAAAATGCTTTAGTAAAATCATCGATTTCAATTCAGCGTCAGAGGTGGGTTTCTGTCTGCACCTGTCTGAATAAGTGTGCAGTGAAAGTGTGATCGTCCATGTGTTTACCCCCCGAGCTGAGTCCTGCTGCCTCTATTGCTGCAGAGCTCCTCTAGGGGGCGCAGCAGGCTGTCCTCGCGGGCCCGATAAGGCTGAGTGTAGCTGTCCTCCTCCAACAGGATGCGATTGAGAGTGCGTTCATAATTAATATGCCTTCGCAGCATCAACACATACTGATGCCCCTCCTCCAAAAAGGGACAGTCACATTTGTTGGGCGCCCACAGGAACTCCCGGTGCTCCAAACGATAACGGTTGCGGTATGTGTGGATGATTTGGACATCATAGCGGGTCTCCTCACCATGATAGACCTTTTCCAGCACTTTTGCTCGAAATACTGTCCAGCAGACAAATGTATCGTCATCATCCAATACACTATGTATATTACACCACTTGTATTATGTTGGCATTGAAGAGACATACTGATTGAACTCACCAAAATCTTTGTGGCAATACTGTCTCTGGCGCTCACCTCTCCCTCGTACCCGGCGACATTTCCCACAGTGGGCTACAAAAGGATGTCATGACATAAAAAAGCCCAGACTTTGTCATCCGTGCAAAAGAACAATTAACAGAGGGAATGAACAAGTTACAAGATGATATGCAAATAATGGAAATAATTTGGTAGCAAGTCTACACTGAAATGTTAACAAATTTTAACATTGCCATTTCTGCAGTACTGGTAGAACCAAGTATCAGGTCTATTTGGTGCCCACTGATAGATTCCTGCTTTCAAACACTCCTGTGCAAATGGTTTTTCAGTGAAGAGCTTCAGAGGTTTCTGTTTGCAACATGTCCTCTGAGAATTGTAGCCAATCAAAGACATCTGCACATCAATGCAATCAGAGGCATTCAGGATAGACAGAATCTGCAGAATGCCATTCAAAATGCTGGCATTTTGTTCAGCACAATGTTTTGTGTTCTATACGCGAATGCAAGAATGCAAGATTGAATTCAGAATTGCGGTGACACACTAATGGCAGTGATAAAGTGCTAACCTCTACGGTGTATTGCAGGCAGTCGGTTCCTGCGGTTTTCATCTCTTTCCAAACGTGGGACTGGCTGCTGTTGATAGGGGGGTTGAAGAGGCCAGTGAGCAGCAGGACCTGAGGGCATGACCTCGTAAATCACAGTTGTATTTACAAAAGACTCCTAACGTTAAGCTTTAAGCGACTGGGGCATTTCTGCCAGATATTTACCATCGCACATACTTCAAATAAACTCAAATTAAATATATATGCCTTTATCTTAATGCATGATCTTGTCACTGCACAGATAAGATACTTCTAAATACCATACTACAACTAATGTAATTTAAACAAAAGCTTAATAGATTTTTACTTCTGTGGCTCAGTGGTAGAGCATTGCGTTAGCAGTGCAAAAGGCTGTGGGTTCGATTCCCAGGGAACACATACTGGTAAAAAAAATGTTTAGCCTGAATGCACTGTAAGTCACTTTGGATAAAAGCGTCTGAGTTGTATTTACAAAAGACTCCTAACGTTAAGCTTTAAGCGACTGGGGCATTTCTTCCAGATATTTACCATCGCACATACTTCAAACAAACTCAAATTAAATATATATGCCTTTATCTTAATGCATGATCTTGTCACTGCACAGATAAGAAACTTCTAAATACAATACTACAACTAATGTAATTTAAACAAAAGCTTAATAGATTTTTACTTCTGTGGCTCAGTGGTAGAGCATTGCGTTAGCAGTGCAAAAGGCTGTGGGTTCGATTCCCAGGGAACACATACTGGTAAAAAAATTTTTAGCCTGAATGCACTGTAAGTCGCTTTGGATAAAAGCGTCTGCTAAATGCATAAATAATAATTATTATTATTAATTAAATACCAAGCCTGTGATTAGAAGCCAAAATATCAAGCACCATCACATTCAGTTTTAACAGTACAAGCTGATCCCGTAACGCTCCTGATGAAAACTGGAACAGCTTATGGCCCACAGAATCTTGGAGACCTTCCAGGAAATAAATTTAGACACTACTAAAGAGTGAAGCATCCGAGATTAAAGCCCCTCAAAATAACTGCATTATCTACTACACTAAAAATTATTTCATCATTGTAAGAGCAGCAACGATTAGTTTTCATCCATTAATCTCCAGCATAATATTTCCTGGCATTTGTAATTGATTTGATGAGTTTTCAGCATTTCAACTTAATTTCTTTAATTATATGTGTATTCCGAATGGTTGGATTAGGTGTAAAAAATGTAACATTGTAAATTGCACCTTATGCTTTAAGTCTACCTCATTTCCCAGCATGCACTGAAGTATACATAATGCAGATTGCACATGCATTTTTTTTTGTTAAAGAAATTAATACTTCTATCTAGCAAGTATGCATTCAATTGATTAAAAGTGACAGCAAAGACATTTATTATGTTACAAAACATTTCTATTTCAAATAAATGCTGTTCTTTTGTACTTTCTACTCATCATATAATCCTGAAAAAATGTATCATGATTTCCACAAAATTATTAAGAGGCACAACTGTTTTTGATAATAATGATAAGAAATCATATGTTTTAACGTCCATTATATAAGTGTAACTCTGCACCATCCTGAAAGGTCTCTTGTCTGTGTTTGTGTGTGTTTAGGTCCACAGGTCCAAACAGAGGCAGGTGAAAACAGACAGGCAGCAGAATGACACAGATCTCTCTGTGAGCTACCACACACAAACAAGAGTGGGATCATGAGGCCCGGGCAGGGATCAAGACCATTCAGGCAGAAGTTTGGCTTAAGCTCCAGACCATAGGGGTGGAGGAGGAGACATCAGGGCAGACTGCAGAGGTAGAAGGGAGGTATGCAGGAGTGAACTGTCCTCGGCAATTTCTGCAGGATATAATTAAGCCCTTGTTTGTCTTTAGACCTCCCGTGCACTCCATTTCACGCAGGTGCAACCCTCCTCCTAATACATGACCTCCCATCCTTATCTCTTTCTTTGCCTTTCTCAGCATTTCCTTTCTTAATCTTGGTAGTTTGTGGAATAATGATTCTCAATGGCACATTCCCATGATTCGGGGGGGCCTCACACAGGGGCAACCACACACACACACACAAGGTGTGCTTCACACATATGGATTCAATCTGCCACATGGTGCTAATGATTGGGCCCCACTATGCATGTGCTTCTCCTTTCCAGTACTCATGTGATGGAAACCAAATTCACACCAGCATGACCTCAGGACTAGGCGGGGCTTATGGTCCATTCAGTCATCTTTACATGCACAAATATGTGTAGGTTTTTGTAATATGTACCTTGTAATACTTTAATTTGTCCTTACAAAAATACCTGTGGTGAAAAAATAGTACATTGATGGTATCAGATGGTTATATACACCGTGGTACTGAACACCATACACCTATGATAGTGACAAGTAACAATACATGTACAAAATACTATTATAATACCATGACACATGAAACAATATAATAAAAACATTAATAGCATGATAAGTTTAGACAGAAGAAATAGACCAATGTACTGAAAAAAAGGTTTCATTCAACTCAAAAATATGATATAATATGATGGAATTACCCTGAATACATTTCAAACATTTTCTACTTAGAATTTTATTTAAAACATTTATTTAAAAATCCTGTTAAATGTCTATTTTGTTAGTCTTTAACAGTACTTTGTGGTTGTCAGCTATTATGAAGCCGTGTCCTAAGAACTACTCACCAGACACTTTCCATTCACACAGACTGTCCCCTGATCTGATTGGCATGGTGTGCCATCAAGAACTCGCCCAAAGTTGTAGTAGAAGTTGTGTCCAATTGCCAGGCAGCTGAGCTCACATGGGTCAGATCCTGAAAGTAGTATAAATCAGGTTTCAGTCGGCATAAGTACCTAGCAGAATGAGAAATCCACACAGTAACACAACACATGCTTCAAAAGAGAAGAGTCATGCTTCACTGACCTCCATGAAAGGTAGTCCAACGGTAACTGCTGCCAGAGACCAGGGGTCTGTCATTGAAAGCTTTACATTGCAGTTCTCTGAAGTCCATTGAATCAGCAGGACACTCCTGATGTTACAGACACAAAGCTCAGGAGAGAAAACACACATCTAGAGCTGCTAAAGCCCTGATTCATTAACACTCTGAGGGTCACTAACAGCCCTGGAGGACTCAGGATAAACACAACACATGAATCTGTTTGCTGACACAATGACCCCATTTAAACCTGGTTTTAACATCTGTCCCAGGTATTGGGATCACAGGTGTAAGCCAGGCTCAATACGTTTCATGATATAATCACTCAAGCCACATTCAGAGGTAGTCAGGAACACACACTGCTAATCCATCTTGATGTGTCCCAGAGAACAGTGAAAGGCCGCTTACTCATCTGGTAATTATCCATATACATTCTTTGTCAGTGTGCAAAATTTGAAAAAGTCCATACATATACAAGCACGAGACTTCAGGGAACTTTTGTTTGCCTGACATTAATATATAGTGACACAGATCATATGAATCATGCACATCCAAAGTAAAATTCAAACAGCATTTTTAAATCAGCAATTTAATCAAAATGAGTAAAATATAATAAAAGTATATTTTAGGGATGAAGATTTTTTAGGTGGTATGTTATAATGTTAGCCTGCATCAACACATTTATGTAGTAAGTGATAAATAAAAAAGTGAAGTTACAAAACTGAGAACCATCCATTTAAATTCTGACAAGTTTGAGGCTAGATGACCTTACGTCCAAGAAAAAAATACAACAAAATAGATAACCAAATACATAAAAACTATCAATACATGCAAGGTGTTACTGAAATGTATGTCTATGTAGACATCCTGTTCAAACTGTAAAGGATTTACTGCACCTTTGTGTTACAAATCTTGTATTGCCTGGTGTCCCCCGGGCAAGGCCCTCCTATCAGATTTCTAAAGAGAGAAACAATAATGAAACATGATCAAGTAAAACACCATAAGGCTGTTCACACAGGATGCGTTCTTGTATTTTTTTACTGTCAGAAAAAACGTTTCCAGAATGTACAAATTACTTTTGAAATAATTATTATTAATATTTATCTAGTGCAGTCAACCGATTAATCGCATCCAAAATAAAAGTTTTTGTTTACATAATATATGTGTGTGTATTGTGTATATATAAATACACACACATACAGCATATATTTAGAAAATATTTGCATGTATTTACGTGTATATATTTATATTCATATAATTTATATCATATGTAAATATATTTAATATATAAACATAACATATTTTTATTAAATATAAGCATGCATGTGTTTGTATTTATATATACATAATAAATATACACAGTACACACACATATATTATATAAACAAAAACTTTTATGTTGGATGCGATTAATCGTTTGGCAGCACTAAATTTATATTTTTATAGTGTCATTAATGGAAATATTAAATCAGCTATTGTATTTAAAATAGTGTTTTGGCAATTTAGCTGAATAATAGAAAAATCCAATGATAGGAAAAGCAGAAATCCCAGTGAAAGAGATTCATCTGAAAGGTACATTTATTTTATAACTTACATGTATACGAGTATAATTGTTCATATTTTAATTGATGATATGTCATAATACCAACAGTTTGAATTCACACTGAACTTTGATATTAAACATAAAACACAATTTTCCAGAAAAAACTGACCTCAAAAATATTCTGACTAAATCTTAAACATTATTATTCAGATTAAATGACAAAATTAAGATGAGCATAGCCATTCATTAAATACGTTGAGATGAGATTGTGCGCCTTTTATGGTCAAGAGGAACAATTAAGGGTACAATACTTTTCATGACTACTAATTTTTCTTTGCCCACATGTATAATCATCTGACAGCAGAGAAGATGGTGTTATGGGGTAAACAAAGTCTGTGCTTTACCTGGTGATGCAGGTGCGTGTACGGACAGAGGCCCCTCCCCCACAGGAGCATGAACACACGGACCAACCGCCCCACGAGGCCCACTCGTTCATGAAATGTATTTGGCTGTGCATCTGTGGTCCCTCACCTCCCAGCTCTACTCGCCTGGATGACTGCAAATGTATAAACAAAGAAGTGAATAAAATGTTGCAGAACAACAACAAAGAGAGACAGCAGAGTTGGTAGAGTTGATAAACTAAGTTGTGCTAAGATGTTTTTTGCTAGCTAAGCTCATACATTAGAACAACAGTATGTAAAATATATTAAAAGTGACATATCATGAAAATCTTACTTTTCCAGGTTTTAAGTGCTATAATCAGGTCCCCGGTGCATCTACCAACCAAGGAAACGTGAAAAAGATTAACCCAGTAACTTTGTTTTGGTAAGCCTTTTTCTACAAGCGTCTGAGAAAACGAGAGCATCTGATTTCGCTCCTTTGGTGATGTGGCAAAGAGATCTCATTATAATATTACCGCCCCTTAATCTGTAAGTTTCCACCCACGGCGCCGTCATTTGATTTCACAAGCGACAACGGTGTACCTGCTCTAATGCCATGGCGAAAGTTTGAGCAAAACATGCTAACTGTTCTGTCTTTGGCTGCACAGACGAGCACAGAACACTATTTACAGTCCCAGCCTCAGAGGAGACAACAGAGCAGTGGATTTATTGATTTATTTAGGCTACTGTATATTGCTGCTGCCACACAGATCTAAAATAAACAAGCGATTTATTTCCCAGCTGTTTACATTCACAGACATAACCGACTGTTTTTGGAACTCGTATGTTTTTAATGTAAACTTGTGTGTGAATGAGAACTTAGTTTAAGTACTTACATGCTGTGTGGTGGCCGCTTTCTGTCCGTGTGCTTCGGATGTGTGCTCTCAGAAAACCGTATATCCACGAAAAACAGCGTGTTTCTGCTTCCACTCAAAATAGGTATTTTCAAAATGATATTATAAATGATATGTGGGGTATTTTGAGCTGAATCTTCACAGACACATTCTGGGGACACCAGAGACTATTACATATTGTTAAAAGGGGCATAATATGTCTCCTTTAAGTAAAATATATTTGTTCAGAAAGTCATTTGATGTATGTTAAGCACTAAACTGAAGGAATCCTGTGCTTACAGTGTAAATGACTGCACACTAGTGCTCAAGACACATGATATGAGAGGCCACCAAAAATTGTCCTGCTCATCGGCTATGCTAGACCGCACTTGACATTTGTGGAAGTGTTTGAGTGTTCCCCAGGTGCTCGACTGATCTCTATTACACATAGCCTCCATTACACAAGCGGTATTCCTATCAGACCACCACTAATCGTCTTCAAGGATAACATTACTCTGTCATTCTTAGATCCGCTGCTGGCTTTGATCCGAGACAAACAGGCAGTAACAGCCCGTGAAGAGTGAGGAGCTTCCATGGGTTGCCTTAGGCCTAACATCTCCTCAAGGTATGTGTATTCTTCTAAATGTAATGTAGGTGTGGAGAGCATGTTTTTCAGCTTCTATCATGTTAAACAACTTCATACAGAGCAGCTGATTGTCTTCCTAAAATAATATTCATCCACGGTATCACGTAAATCTAATTTGAGCAACTCAGAGAGTCACATGAGGCGTGTAAACACGTCGCAACAAAATGAAAAGAGTTCAGCATACAAACAGAGCATTGAACTTGCATTCCAAAGTTTGACCCCTAAAGGGATGATTTACTGGCACATATGCGACTGCTTTTTGGTGAAGAGCTTTGTACCGGTTCCTAAGATTAACCCTTTCAATGGAAATATTACAGAAAAATTAGGTTCGGTTGGACTCATTTAATAAGGTTATCATTACAGGAAGAAATGGAATGTGTGTCAGAATCTCCTGAACTTATTTAGCCTAGAGACCTGTGATGAATAGAGGTTTGGTAATGAGTGAGGATGTCTAGATGAGAGGGTTAAAACGACAGATGACTGCACTCTCACAGACACAATAGTGCTTTATGACTGACGTCCATCATCTTCAATACCAGAATGACCTGGAACTGCCCTCATTACCGTAGCAAAGACTCAAATTAGTGTTGATGACAGTCTGCCATGGGGCCCGTGGGCAAGGCGGATTAATGAAATCGACCTTTCACCTTTAGAACACCAGCTTCCCCCCAAAGGCAATATTTTAAAAAGGACATGTTGACTTTAGAGTTCTTGGAAAGAGTTTTAGGAAATTCATAAGTCTGAAATGAACTTGTTGGCCTCCTGTCGATAGGTCTTGTTTATGTTGTTTTAAAGGAGATGTAAAAGTCATTCCAGTGGAATGAAGGTGATAATGACTGGTGGACAAGACCTAGCTTGGATCTTGGGAGGGAAACTGAGGGAAGATGACTGGGTGAGGTCCAGAAGGTACCAAAGGCAGAGTAGTACATGCAAGCTTTCCCTATAGCTACCAGTGAAAATTCAGTCATCATTTACTCACCCTCATGTCTTTCCAAACCATTAAGACTTTTGTTCTTCTTCAGAACATAAATTTAAATATTTTAATCAAAGCTGAGAGATTTCTGTCTCTCCACTGAAGAATAAATTCCACCAAAACTTTGACGCTTTGGTTGACATTATAAGCAATCAATGTGAATCAAATGGTTTAATCCAAGTCTTTTGAAGAGACACAATCACTTTATATGATGAATAGATTTAATTTAGGCTTTTATCCATATATACGTAAATAAATGACAACGAATAGCGATAGTGTGTCCTATACATTGAGAAGTTTTAGAGTATGAGTCTGACTCCCACCAGTGAGGTCATAATACTAAGAGACCACACAACGACTGACTCATCAAAGGAGCAGATTCTCAGAAACTCTTTTGCTAAAGCCCAACCATCTTCTTTTATATTGTTGCAATGCCTATGAATTTGAAATTTGAGAAGTTTAATGGGGACAACTCATGTAAACACGCTACAATATTCCTTTCTCCATCATAGATTTGTGTACAAACATTATTCCTCTTCCTAATCGTCTGTGGACATGTGCTTATGGGCTAAGAGGCGTATTTTAATAGCAACCCAGAGTGGACACTGGTCAATTATAAACAATACACTCCCATGAAGAACTGATTCAGAAGAGTAATATGATGAAATACATCTTCCTTTGACTACATGTGCATCTCTAATCATTGTGAATAAACAGGATCAAAAGAGATACAGACAGTAGGTAATGCATAATAATTACAGTACAATTACACTCTAAAAAATGGCACTGGGTCAAAACAACCCAATAGCTGGGTTTGTCCCTTTTTAACCCAGCATTTTTTAGAGTGAACCTGAACTCAACAGTTTAGCATATTAAAGCTTAATTTATTGTCAAGGTCAAAGGTCAAGAGGTCTATAGTAAAAGGCAATAATGATGTTCATTTTGATGGTTTTGACTGCTATAGCCTTCAGGTAAGAACATAAACTTGTGTCTCTCATGACAATGTGATAAAAAAAACAAAAACAATATGACTTTAACATTAATAATACCTTAAATTCTAAATATAGGCTATATGTTTTTACAGTTAAAGTCACATGAAATAAACCTTAAATGGGTCTGCATCCATTAGGTTTCTGGCAGACGAACCACAAAGTGCTAAATCTGAACTTAACTGGAGTCTTAAATTTGTTTATGGGTCATGCCGAAGCACCTCAAGTTTATGTGAACAGTAAACTGTTCTCCTCTTAAAGATTAGATTAGATTAGAACAGCTGTTTCCTGGATGTGGGACCATTTTAAAACAGTTTTAGAAAAATGTTCATCCATAACCAAGAATACTAACACTACCAAAAAAAAAAAAAAGTACATCAAGCCACCAACAATGCAAAAAATGATGTCACAGATATGCAATCACCAGTACTGAAAAGCTATTATAATAGTTTAAAATATTATAAAAGCATTCAAATGCAATCAATAGTGAGTTTGCACACTCTAAAAAATGCTGGGTTAAATATGGACAACCCCAGCGATCGGGTTGTTTTCAACCAACAGTTGGGTTAAATTTTTAACCCAACCTTCTGGGCAGTAAGCCAACCGCTGGGTCAAAACAACCCAATCGCTGGGTTTGCCCATATTTTACCCAGCGCTGGGTTGTATTTAACCCAGCATTTTTTTAGAGTACAGAGAAACAAATAATAAAAATGTGCAACAAATTATAAAAATTGCAAAGTGTCTGTGACTGAAATAAAAGTTGGCTTTGTATAATTCAGTTGCAACAAATAAAGCATATGGGTCAATAACAAACGAGGACATCTGAGATTACAAAAATGAAAAACATTTGAAATATATAGTTTTCAAAGGGTCACATGTTTTCCTGTCACATGACAAAAATGGCTTCCTGTGTGTTGGTGCTTTTTAACTGAATTTAAAAGGTGAGCATCAAATAATAATAATAATCATTTTAATTTAGAGATGAAAACATGTTGGTCACAGAAGAGGTGAATTTTTACTGTATTTTTTAATCATTACGTCATAGCCTTAACTAAAAAGAGAACTTGAGTCAACTCCAGGTTGTTTTATTTGTTCTTTTCCATCTTCCCTTCAGCAATTCAATAAAAATCATCAACGTGTTTCCACACACAGCAGAGGAGATGCATGATCCACATACCTCTTTGACATTTTAGGTCTTCGTCAGGTGTCACAAAATAACTTCTTGAGATCTGAAACTGGACTCATCTGATAAAGTAAAGACCACGAGATGTGTGATCCCAATGGTTTTTATCATCAAAAAAGTCGGGAAACCTAACTGCATCCATGTTTCACAAGTGTTTCCTCTGCTGGGACTTTTTCTGAAGTTTTCTCACACGCAGAGCCCAAAGAGGATAACCTGAATTAATCCTACATAATCCTGAATAAAAATGAATCATTGAAAATAAATATAGGCTACTTCACATCCTCTCCTCTTATTTGCATTATTTAAAGTCCTCCTCACTTTTTCAAGCCGGTGCTGTTTCTTAGGGCAAACTGATTCACTTTCAGTTTCATATCAGTGTCCAGCGTCCGATCTCACAAGGAGAAGGTCTGGTTAAAGCCTTCAGATCTTCTGTCGCCAGGTGGGTTTCTGTGCACTTTACCTGAGCCTCTCAGTCACAAACAACATCCGTGAGAGAAAATAACGGTTCTTCGGTCAGGACACTTGGTCCTCCTGTAGATTTCACATTCAGTTTCAGATTCACATCATCTGAGAAGAGATATAATATTGCGTTTGTCCTCATTTGATCGTTGCACAAACGTTATGCGTCAGTATACATTCACAAACTCAACAGCATAGGCTATTTTCTTGATGATGATCATAATAATAGTAAGAACATTTCTATAGGCTACCCTATCTTAGCATAATATACTATCGTTAAGATAAATCACGCTCATTTAAATGCTGTCTTTTTTCAGTAAAATCAAAGTGACAGAGCAGTGATCAATTATTGAATATTTCCAACCACTTTGAATTGAATTACTCAAATTAATACATCAAGTTTAAACTCTGATTAGAAATGACTGAAGTTATTGTGGCAAATTAAAACGATCGGGGGAAAAAGATGTAGTTTACATCATAATTAAATAGTTTTACAGTAGCCTAATTCGTTATAGGCTGAGCATCCTCTGTGAGAGTAAAACTTATTTCCGATCACAAACAAAACATAGCTATATAAACGCAGCACGCATAATTAAGTAGTAGTGAGTTACCTGTCAAAAAGCAGCGTCTGTGGTGATGCAGCGTGTGCAAATAAACTAAGCCTGAGTTTGTACTGATGTGAATGAGAGCCGCAGCATTGCGTGCAGTCGCGTTCACCTGAAGCTCAGCCCAATGTGTGCCTACATTCCGATGGAAAACTAGTAAACACGCCCCTCTTAAACGGAATGTTGCCCAATCCAGATTGTAAATGCTCCAGTAGCTGTAGTTCGTGCATGTACTAAATCGTCCCTGTATTGTGAGCCTTAAGTTACAGAAAGTTTAAATAAGCTGAAAGATGTGCATGCCATCAGAATATGAATTAGAAAACAACTTCCAGAGGGATTAACGTTTTTAATGGATTTTCTATAGGTCATTTTCAAGGCTCAGTCTGTTGAGACTCGTCTTGTGGAAGTCAGATTGTCTTTTTTGGCAATGCTGACACAGCTTGGCTTTTAGAACAGAATATGTTAAGGTGTTATTGTGCTCTATATGTGATATAAAACTCTATAAGTGAAGCAACAAGATATTTTATCAATATACTGTCTGTTAGTGATGGAAGTAAAGTGCTCTACTGCTCTATTGTCATTGGATTGGATTCCGTTATTAAAGTTTTCAGGCATCAGATCATTCTTGTGAAATATTCATTGACCTGTGACTGTTTTCTAGTCAATGAAGATGTTTAGAAATATGACAACAATGACAAGTTACAGCTCAACAAGTGGCTGCAGTTATATTGAGCTCTCCTGCAGACCCCAACCATGACCATGGAAACAGTCCCTAAAATAACTGCTATCAACTGCAATGGATCATCACATACAAACCACAGACCCAGGCGTTGTTATGTCTCTTGTCTCTAGGTCCTTTGATTAAAAAAAAAAGAAAGCAATGCTCACTTTACCAGAGCATGATGATTGTTTAAGTGCCCCAGAGCCTCAAATGGCAAGTTTCAGCTTGCAGAGAAATGTCTTTAGCAAGTGTACCACATCTTTATGCTCCTCGATGAACATAGCCAACCTCTGATTCACAACCATTTAAAGGGATAGTCCACCTAAAAAATATATTTTTGTCATAATTTCCTCATTTTGAAGTTGTTCCAATCCTGTATGAATTTCTGTTGAATTTAAAAGAAGATATTTTGAAAAATGTTAGCAACCAGCAACTGTTTGGTTAAAAACATTCTTCAAAATATCTTCTTTGTGTTCAACAGAAGGCAGGTTTGGAACAACTTCAGGGTGAGGAAATTATACATTTTTGGGTCAACTATCCCTCTAATCTCTACATAGGTACAAAGATCCCAGTCAGCATTTTTAAATAGATAACTATTAATTGCATTCAAGCATGCAGATTTGAATAGTCAAAGATAGTCTTTCATTGATATGACGTAAATTTGTGTGGTTGCTTAACATGTTTCTTGAAAACTGAATGTGTAGCAATTTTGACAAGCAGTCCCAGTGGTGTCTTTAATGATAGCAGATGCTGCAGTGAACAGACCACAACACATCTTCTGGTTTGTTGGTCTTCACTTGTGTGTATATACTTTCATATTTTATTTCATTAATTTTATTTCTCCAGGTTATATAACTCCATCAACAACCACCTGATTGGTCAGTCAGATAGACTAAAATAGTCTTTAGTAACCATAATACAAGGGAATAAAAAAACCTGGGAATGACAATGTTCCAGAGTTCCATGCCTGTGTGACTAACAGGCAGATAATCCACATGTCTATGACTGTAATCCCTGTAAACCTGACACTTGACAGCTGTACTCAACTTGTGATTTTGCCAACAGAATCCTCCATACATTGCACCAACATCTCTTTCTCACGTTTTGACGCAAATAAAAGTATATGAGTGGGGTCATAATAGTCTTTCTGCATGTTAATTAAGACATTTCACCAGTACTTGGCAAAAGTGAGTCACTGAATCATTTAACCAATTAGTTTCAAATTTGTTTATACAATTTGTTTTGTGCCGGCATTTAGCCTTGTGGTTAGTGTGCCGACATATAGCGCAACTGTGCTTGCAGCGACCTAAGTTCGATTCCCGTCTAGGTCCTTTGCCGATCCTGCACATTTGTTGATCCACCTGTCTGCTCTCTACTGTCCTATCAAATAAAGCCAAAAAAGCCCATAAATTATATATATATATATATATATATATATATACACACATATACAGTGGTGTGAAAAACTGTTGGCCCCCTTTCTGATTTCTTATTTTTTTTGCATGTGTCACACTTTAATGTTTCAGATCATCAAACAAATTTAAATATTAGTAAAAGATAATGCAAGTAAATACAAAATGCATTTTTTACCTTAATAAAAGAAATCATCATTTAAAAACTGCATTTTGTATTTACTTGCATTATCTTTGTGTAATATTAAAATTTGTTTGATGATCTGAATCTTTTAAGTGTGACAAATATGCAAAAAATTTAAAAAACAGGAAGGGGGCCAACATTTTTTCACACCACTGTATATATAAACACTGATTCATTCAGGAACAAAACAAGTGACTATGGCTTCAAACTTCCCTATAATACATAGTAGGTAAAATCAGTATGTGAAAGAAGTAGTATGCCCGAATTCAGTATTCAAAAAAACAGTGGACAAAAATTATCTGGAATAACTGCCTTAAAACCACTCACAACTGAGCTCATTCACAGGGAAGTCGTGGCCCAATGGTTAGAGAGTCGGACTCGTAACCCAAAGGTACCGGCAGGGATTGTAGGTGGGGGGAGTGAATGTACAGCGCTCTCTCCCACCTTCAATACCACGACTGAGGTGCCCTTGAGCAAGGCACCCCCAACTGCTCCCCGGTCGCTGCAGCAAAAACAAATGGCTGCCCACTGCTCCGGGTGTGTGTTCACTGCTGCAATGCTGTGTGTGTGTGCACTTTGGATGGGATAAATGCAGAGCACTAATTCTGAGTATGGGTCACCACATTTCACTTGGGGGGGTGTGAAAAGACATCTAAACACATAAATCACTCCATATACAAGCATTGCATGCAAATATATACATGATTGCTGTGTATGATTATACAAACAGCAGCTAGTTTACACATTCTCTCTTGATGAAGATATATCTCTACACAACTCTTCTGCACTCAGCAAGTGCAAAGTTTAATAGTTACCCTGGCAACCTGACTAGCCTTCAACTTCAACTTCATGCTGTTTATTAGTGGCAGTAGTGATGTATCCCACAGTGCAAATGAATCCATTCCCTGTGTGCAGTTACTAGTTACTAGGTATGCGAGAGTGGAATGACTGCATGGTGAGGGCTGTTTTGGGATAGGCCTTGTGAGCCAGATAGCGCAAATGTTTGAGAGTTTCAGTAATGATTACAGGTCTCTGGAGGAGGGACTCCCTCCTGTACACTTCACTTATGACGGCTGCTCTAAATGGTTAATGCCAGATGTGGTGGATGTTTGACCGGTAACAGCTACTAATATTATATATAGGCAGGTGTTCTCTCTATTATTCCCTCTCAGAATACATTATATTTAAGCTTTACAAACAAGGTACTGCAAGAAGGCATGCTTCATTCCTAGTAGAGAGGAACAGAAAACCACTAATCATGTGTTGACAGATCGTTACATGACATCTTTTAGTTCAGACAGCACTTACCCCAAACAAAGTTCTGACTTAAATTGAGTTTAATAGGAAAATTAACAAGCATGTCAACTATTTTGACCCGGGAGGTATTTCGTACGAGGCTCTGCTCATCAAGATGTAAATAGCTGAGTGATTTGGAATGAAATCTCAGAGGATTATCAACTAAAGGTTAAAATATAGAACAGCTGCTTAGTAGCTGGAATAATCTCACAGTGTGAAAGCCCAGAGGGCAGCAGATGTGTGAGTCCCCCCCCCATCTCAACCAGAAAACACAGAACACCATGACAGAAAAATAGCATAAGAAGGCAAGAATAAACCAAGATTTAAAAAAAATGAATAAATGACTATCAAATGTCATTAAAAAAAACAACACTGAAAGGGAATTTCCCTTGTAGTCATAAAACACCTAATGAGAACCCCTGCAATAATCAGTTACATTATCTATGATTCCATCACCCTGCTTTAATGCTTTAATTAAGTATCACATCAGAAACGAGTGTTGGAGATGGCAAATTTTGAAAAAAAAAAAAAAACTTAATTCGCTAAAAAGTTTGTACGCTCGCTTGAGGTGGTTTTTGACTTGTGCAAAAAAGGATTCATGCGAATAATGGGAGATGGAAACACATTTTCCGAATAAATTCCTCCATGCGCATAAAAAAAAGTAATGTGCGCTATGGGAGGGCATAACCTGACTAACCAGCGGATGGATCTTTTTGCACAGCATCTGAAATGTTGTTATGGTCATGCTGAAATGCCCCAGCAAACCCCCATCTCAACCAGAAATGTGCACAAACACCATGACAGAAAAAGAGTGTGGGAGGCAAGAATAAAATAAGATTTAAAACAATTCTAAACAAATTACTACCAAATGTCATTCACAAAAACAACCTTGAAAGGGAATTTCCCTTGTAGTCATAAAACACCTAATGAGAACCCCTGCAATAATCAGTTACATTATCTATGATTCCATCACCCTGCTTTAATGCTTTAATTAAGTATCACATCAGAAACGAGTGTTGGAGATGGCAAATTTTGAAAAAAAAAAAAAAACTTAATTCGCTAAAAAGTTTGTACGCTCGCTTGAGGTGGTTTTTGACTTGTGCAAAAAAGGATTCATGCGAATAATGGGAGATGGAAACACATTTTCCGAATAAATTCCTCCATGCGCATAAAAAAAAGTAATGTGCGCTATGGGAGGGCATAACCTGACTAACCAGCGGATGGATCTTTTTGCACAGCATCTGAAATGTTGTTATGGTCATGCTGAAATGCCCCAGCAAAGTCTGTTATCAAAGTATTTTTGTATAATTGCCTCCCAGAAATGTCTTACACAACTGCATTCCCAAACAGCAGGCATCCACCTTCGAAAGCAATGACTGCATTTATTGTGTTTCTTCTGCTCACTCTGAGGTGCAAGTAATTTATAAAATATGAAAATGATTATATTCTGTGGCTTCTCCCACTTTTCTTAGTGATATTTAGTGCCAGTTTATCAGGAAGGGATTCGTCAGATGGAAATGGTGCTTATTTGCATTATGCGACATTCCAATTTTGCGTACAAGTTAAATTCGCAACTTTGGATGGAAACACAGCTTGTTTAACAAACAGTCAGCTTAAGGTAGCCACAATTATTATGCATTTATATCTCAAAATAATTAATTTTGTAATTATTATTATTATTTAAGTGTGTGGTGGGATAAATTAAACGTCATCTGCCATATCGTCACAGTCGTGTTGCATCATGGTATATTCGCTCCCTCAGTTAAAATCTAGGGGTTGAGTGTCTGTCCATATAAACGTCCCTTGTCCACCGGACGAAGTAAAATGCACTTCAGTGGAGGTGGAGAAGGGAAGTTTGTGAGTGTATGTCTAAAGTGAAGTTGAACGCACCCCTGGTCCTGCAGTGAAACCTTCCACCTCCTCCCCAGCTCCACCTGTCTAGATCTGCTATGGGTAATTTCACGTATGCTATTTGTGCAGCAGCACCATGGCTACAGGCTCAGAGTAGCATGGCTGTGCAAACTATATCCCGAGAGTTGTCATGATAAACTATGGAGTCCCCTCCCTGATTCTATCATATCAGGCATCTTTTTGCAGAGATTTACTGATAACACTCTAGGACAAATAAACACAAGTTCAGCCATTCCACCATTTGCTTAATTGGGTCCTTGGGAAACACAGAGATTTTACATACAGGAAAGGAAGGGGACCTGAGGAGATTGAGGTGAATAAACTTATCCTAAGTATCTTCATAAAACACAATGTGTTTAAAAACACAGCTGTGCTCTGACTCAACACAAGGTCATGTCCATGATTACACAGTGTCAGTGTTTGTGTCTGTAGACACCTTTGTGCGAGACAATCCTCTGTTAGCATGCCGGTCAGTTCAGTTGGCTGTAAATCTGCCTGTTTTGTCATAACATACAAGACCTGTAAGAATGCTTACATTAGCCAGCATGGAATTAAGTGGATTTCCACAATTTGACAAACCAAAAAAAGTAAAATTCTTTTGGTTTGTCAAATTGAATAATGTCATCAATAAAATCAAAATATGAATATCTGATGCGATTTCAATTTTTCCTTTCTCTTTGGAGTGTTGAAAGCTCTTGGTGCATAAAGAAGATCTGTAAAGTTGCAAAGACTAAAGTCTCAAATGCAAAGAGATATTCTTTATAAAAGTTAAGAGTCAACCACGCCTACCTAAAACGGCTCGTTCTAACACGCCCCCACATGTCTACGTCACGATGTGGGAAGATGTGCATAACGCCGCCCAAATGTTCATGCAAAGAAAGAAGGCGTAACTTTTATTCTCGCTGTAGTATTGTTGCTGCCGCCATGTCGTGAAGACGCTGAGTGTTTTGTTGTGAAAGCAAAACTACTTTGTTTGGCCTTCCAAAAGAGGACGATATCTGCTTCGTCATGCCTGGAGCTGATCCGTGCTGGTCGCTGAAGAAATACAACAACTTCACGCTGTGGATCGCCGGATCAGCTTTCACTGTGGACGAAGCGGAGTCCAGCCCTAACGCACTGATAGCTGGCCAATCAGAGCACACCTCACTTTTCAGACCGATGAGCTTTGTAAAAATTGACGCGTTTCAGAAAGCCGGGGCATAGAGGAGCAACAATAATGTACAGTATGGGGAATTTTTTTTTTAACCTTAAACCGCATAAACACATTTCATTACACCAAATACACAAAATAATGTTCTTTTTAGCAGCATCATATGACCCCTTTAAGAGACATTAACTAGATTAATTATCATAGGAAAGAAATCTTTCAGTTTATTTCCCAGAAATGTCAGTTCCTAAATGAAGTATTTATCATCAAAAGTGTATACACATTTGCAAGCACTTCCAGTGCATTATTTTTGTGGTTGTTAACTGATCCTGCATCAGTGTTGGCTATTTCTGTTACCACTAAAACAATACATTGGAATCCAAGAAGCAGCCAGACGACTATGTGCTAAATTTATGCCAGTGAGTGTTGCTGTTTGAAATAAATCCCTGGAGAAAGTTATTGATGGACTTGCTGTTGTTACTGTATGTTTATGTTGAGCTAACAGCCACAATCACACCACATTCAGAATGAAACAGAAGTCTGAAAAAGAGCAGTCATGTCCACACACAGGGTGTCTGAATGACCTGTGGAAAAAACCCTCGCCCCTTTGTTTATAATACTGGGTGGCAAATGAATGACAAAACCTGTAGTGTGTCCGGGAAGTAACCGTAAATCAGGTCTTGCTTACTTACCTCCCAGACTTCTAACAAGGACAAGACATTCATCAGGGGAAAAAAACAGATTTCAGGGGCCCTGCAAAAAGTTTAAAAGTAGTCTAGCCAGACTGAATAATTAGCCATGATCAAACTTGTGATGCAGAGAAGTCACTTCGAAGCTGACTAATGCCAACAATGAAACACAGAGCACATTGTCAGTCAGTCAGAAATAAACAATTTGTAAGAGATTCGTTCCACATAGGGTTTCTGATAACCTCATCATGTTTATTTTGTTATAATGACCAGCTGACTGCAAATTAACCTGCATATCTATTTACCTAATAAACGAATATGGGGAAATGCAAAATTGATTTTGAGTTGAAATTATTTTATAATCTTACCTGTGTATTATTTACTAAGTTTCTACTAAGAAAAAATAGTCCATTACAATGTACAAAACTGTCAGCCTAGCAACAAGCTAAAAACTGCAACAATAATACAGTAATATTAGTAGTGAAGATCTCTAAGGTAATTTACAGTAGTTGATAAATGAGTTGAAAGATTGCATCAGTTGGTTTTGTATGAAACAAGAGAGAGTCCACTGAGAGATATAGGACACATGAAAGTAGTGCTGGTTTCAGTTTCCTGGATCAGCAAACTGACATACAGCTTTGTTATTAATGACAATAGAGATACCACAAAGTCGTATATAAACGGTTTAATCCATATAAACAATATTCACATCACACCATACCATACACAACTTGATAATAATTACTCAATGTTTAATAAATCAGAAAAGTAATGAGGAATTTGTGGCAGCACAAATTTATCAGGAATTATCAGAGATGACTAAGTCAAAAGAAACATGTGGCTCTTGAGGATGAAGGGGCTGTCCAAGTGCAGAGAGCTGAGAGCTAAGTGCAGAATGAGGCAAAGCAATTAGTGAGTATAAAGTAAACAAAAACTCTCAAAAGAGTTCAGCTAAATCCCTACAGCACACATCTCAAGGGGTTGAACTGATTTAACAAGACCAGTGAGGGTTGAGGTGTGAGTGGTTATCTACAAAATCAAAATATAAAAGTTAGTAAGAAAGAAAATTGCCTGGTTACTTTGAATGTGAGATTTAAAGCTGCTTAGATTTAATCTATCAGAAGATGAAACTGAAAGACTCTGAGCAGATGAGTGTATGGTCATCATCACATTCAGCTGCAGTCAGAGGTCACTGGTCTGCAGGACATCCTCCCTAAATAATAACAAAACTTGAAAATAACAAAATTAACCATTCACTAAGCTAAGAAGGGACATGCAAAGGGATGGTATCCACCATTCTGAGGGAAATTTTTTTTTCTTTTCTGAGGGCCCATTTGAAGTGACTTTAGATTAATCACATCACTTAGCAATGTAACTAAACATTTTCTTAATATCTTAATTCTCTCACTCCCTGCTTGAGATTAGAATGGTATTTTATCTAGCTACAATTAATAGGGGAAATATTTATAGATCCTACATTTTTAAGATCCTAATTAAAATGCTAAAAAAAAACACAATTAAAGACATACAGAATTAAACTGGCATTATATTTTTAGTTATATTTTAACAGAATACTAGATAGTAGGGTCTTCAAACATTGTTTTGGACAAAGGGAGACTTGGAAGACAAATATAATATGTCAATAATAAGAAAGAGTGAGGTGATTCAATTTTCTTCAGAATTCTTTTGATTGCCTCCCAGAAGTTTTTTGTTGTTTAAGCTGTGGTGTTAAGTAACCGAAATTCAATTTCTGTAAAATTTATTGTCGACCAGAATTTTCATGTTTCATGTCCAACACTGGAGTCTGACATTATACTTTTACATCCAGTTTTTTTTTTTTTTGCTTTTGACTGTATAAGTATCATAATCAGAATTAGCTTTATTCGCCAGGTGTGTGCAAACACACTAGGAAATTTTATTTTTTATTTTTTTTTTTTTTTACCAGGTGCATACAAACATACATACACATCTGACATGAGAACAGAAAAAAACATTTAAATAGTAAGACTTAACAAAAAATAATGTGTATAAAAAAAAAATTGTGTGTATGAATCTGGAACAGTAGATTTATGTACAGATTTGTGCATTTGTACTCTATATAGAACTGTATAAATAAGAGATATCCATATTGTGGCGAGGGGGGCATGGTTCAGCAAAGTCTGCAGCGGGAGAGAGTGACGGGAGACGAGCGGTGAGTAAGTAGGTCAAGTGCAAAATGCACTTGTGTCTGATTGCAGTAATTAGCCTGGAGAGACCGGATAAAAGGCAGACTGGAGAACGTGGTTGGGAGAGAGTGTTTGTTCAAGGGCAGGTTTGATCAAGAGTCACTTCCTTCATCCCAATACGAACTTTGTTACACTGGGAGAACGTGGTTGGGAGAGAGTGTTTGTTCAAGGGCAGGTTTGATCAAGAGTCACTTCCTTCATCCCAATACGAACTTTGTTACACTGGTGCCGAAACCCGGGAAGGAAGTGATAACGCCGCCGCCATCATGTCATCTCCGTCAAGTTCGCCGTTTACGGAGGTCATCCACTCGCTCGCGGGCCTCCACCAAGAGCACCATCAAGCGCTGCTGGACACGAGGGAGGATCAGGAGCGTCGATTCCGGGCCCTCGTTCAGATGCAGCAGGAGGACCGCGAGCTGTTCCGGAGCTGGATAGACCGGGAGGTTCGGGCTGGAGTAAGTCCATCTGCCCCGGCCCTGCCAGCCCAGCTGTACTTGAACAAACTGGGCCCTCAGGATGATCTGGAGACCTTCATCGACCTCTTTGAGAGGACCGCCGAGGCATGTGGGTGGCCCGGACGAACTGGCCAGTGCGCCTCATCCCGCTGCTGTCAGGGGAGGCCCAGATGGCTACGCAGCAGCTGCCAGTTCAGAACCTCCTATGACGACCTCAAGCGAGCCATCCTCCAGCGGGTCGGCCGGAACCCCGAACAACACCGTCAGCAGTTCCGATCATTGGAGCTGGGGGAACACGGCCGGATGGCTCAGCAGCTCCGGGACGCGTGCCGCAAATGCCTGTTGGTCAGGGGAAGCGACGTCGACCAGATAATCGGCCGCGTGGTGCTGGAGCAGTTCGTCGTGTGGTTACCGACGAACACTGCGCAGTGAGTCCAGTGTCACCGGCCGGCGTCGCTGGACCTGGCCATTCAACTGGCGGAGGACCAGATGATGGCATGCCGGGGGGGGGGGGAAACCCCGCCCT